GAGAAAATACATTTTCTTTGATAAGAAAAGGTTTTTGGATGTTCTGCTTTTGGCACAGGACTCTTAATAGATGGGTTCTGACTAAATGAAGTACCCTATCACTACTACATTCCGATTCCTCAACTTATCTATTTTCCTTTTCTGTCTAGGTGGTCTGTAGTTTAGTCCTATTGCTGAAATAACTTTTCTTTGTCTCTCTGTTAATCTTTTTTTTTTTCTGTTAATCTTTACTCACAGTCTTCCCACCATGCTTTCCTTACCCTGGTTCTCAGATTTCAGATATGGATTTATTTTCTTTTTCTTTTTTTCTTTTTTTTTAAATGTATTTTCTTAATCTGCTCCCACCACTCTCCTTTCTTAATTTTTATTTTATTTATTTATTTTTTGTTTTTGGTGAGGCAATTGGGGTTAAGTCACTTGCCCAGGGTCACACAGGTAGTGAGTGCTATGTGTCTGAGGCTGGATTTGAACTCAGGTCCTCCTGACTCCAGGGCCAGAGCTCTATCCACTGTGCCACCTAGCTGCCCCCATTCTCTTTTTTTAAAAAAAAATAAGATATTCCCATCCAGAGTCATATTTCTGTCATGGGACTTATTCCACCAAGGCTCAGCAATACTAATGTGGTCAAGTTTACTTCCTTGCATTAATTTTTCTAGTTCAATTTTGTTAGGCAGGAAGTCATGTTAGAGACTACTGCAATGGTACTGGCAGATTGTGATGTGGTCCTGTGCTAGCCAGAGAACTAGAGATAAGAGGACTGTTTGGAGAAATAGCTCAGGGTTGATATCAATAGAATTTAGTAACTAATTGGATGTGAAGGGTGAGAGAGAGGGTGGAGTCAAAAGATAATAGCAAAGTTGCAAATATGGGAGATTGAGTGAATGGTGGTTCCACTAACAGGCATCAAAATCAGAATTGGAGGGGCAGCTAGATGGTGCACTGAATAGAGCTCTGGCCTTAGAGTCAGGAGGACCTGAGTTCAAATCCAAACTTAGACACTTAATACTTACTAACTGTGTGACCCTGGGCAAGTCACTTAACCCCAATCACCTCACACAAAAAAAAGCAAAAAAAAAAAATCAGAATTGGAAGGAGCAAGTTTTTTTGGGGAAAGGAAACACGCTTTGTTTTGAGGTGCTAATGAGGCACCCCAGTGATATTCTGTTGACAGTTGGAAATGTGGTTCTGCATAGTTCAGGGAAAGATCCAGATTAGAGATAATGAATTGGAAGTATGTTTGCATCAAGGTGACAACTGAAGCCATGAAGTTGAGTGACATTGAACAGGGAGAAAGTGTGAAGAGAGATGAGAAGACAGCGAAGGACAGAACTTGGGGTACACTCACTCTACAGTGGTAGAAGGGAGAGAAGATGCTAATGAAGGAAATAGAAAAGCAGGAATTTAAGATGTAGACCTTGGGAGAGTACAGTATTTCTTAAGCCAAGGGAGGAAAGAAGGGGATGGTCAGCAGAGATCAGGGAGGTTAACCATTGATAAAAACTATTATCATAAATAGGTGATTTCAGTCAATTGTAGCTCTTGAGAGAGTGGTTTCAGTAGAGTGGGAGGGCAGGAAATCAGGAAATAGGCCTAGAGATATGATGTGATTCATACAAGGTGGGTCCTCTATTCTTTCTTTTGTCTTTAATATAAATGTTTAATTGATGGTATTTTTATATTATAGACAGCTAGGTGGCGCAGGGGATAGAGCACTGGGCTTGGGGTCAAGAAGATCTGAGTTCAAATTTGACCTCAGGCATTTACTAACTGTGTGATATTGGGCGAGTCACTTCATCCTGTTTGCCTTAGTTTCCTCATCTGTAAAATGAACTGGAGAGGGAAAAGGCAAATTCCTCCACTGTCTCTGCCAAGAAAACCCCAAATGGGGTCACGAAGAGTTGGACACAACTGAAAAACAACAACACTTTTTATATAACACTATCGCTTTCCAACAACTCTATGAAGCCTCCCTTACAACAAATAAGCACAGATAAGCAAAACAAATCAATGTAATGGCCGTTATACAGCTATAGGTTCCACCTTTCTGCCAAGAGGTGGGGGATATTTTTTACCCTCAGCCCTCTTTAGTATATATTGATGATTGCATTAACACCAGTTCTGACATCTTTTAATGTTGGTTCCCCTTACATCACTGTGGTCGTTGTATGTAAAATTTGCTCTTGGGCCTGCTCACTTAACTAGTTGGCACAGTGGATAGAGTCACTGGAATCACAAAGACGAGTTTAAATCTGGTTTCAGATATTCACTGGCTATGTGACATTGGGCAAGTCACTCTCTGTTTGCCTCAGTTTCCCCGTCAGTAAAATGGGGCTAGTAATAGCACCTCCCATACAGGATTGCTATGAGGATCAAATGAGATAATATTTGCAAAGCACTTAGCACAGTGCCTGGCACAGAGTAGGCGCTTAATAAATGTTAATTCCATCCATCCATCCATGAGTCTATGTTATTTCAACTATACCACATTACCTACCTAAGGCAGCAGGACACAGAAGAAAGAAGTCTGGGTTTCAGTAGACCTATGCTCAGGACCACTTCCTTTTTTAAAAAAAATTCAATTTTATTTTATTTCAGTTCCAAATTCTTCCCCTCCTCCTCTAATAGCACCCATTGAGAAGGCCAAAAAAAAAAAAAACCATGTGAGACAAATTTCTGCATTAGTTATGTTCCAATTTTTTTTTTAAATGAAGAAAAAGAAATGAGAAACTATGTCTCAATCTACACTTGGGTCCACCTGCTCTCGATCTGGAGATGGATAGCATGTTTCACTGAGTCCTTTGGAATTGTGGTCGGTTGTTTTGTTGATCAGAGCTACTAAGTCTTTCAAAGTTGATTATCTTCATAATATTGCTCTTAATATATAAATTGTTCTCCTGATTCTGTTTCCTTCACTTTGCATCAGTTCGTAAGAGTCTTCCTAGGTTTTTCTGAAACCATTCCCTTCATAGTTTCTTACAGCACATTAGTATTCTATCACATTCGTATACTATAACTTGTTTAGCCATTCCTTATTTAATGGGCATCCCTTCGATTTCTAATTCTTTGCCACAATAAAAAGAGCTACTGTCAATATTATTGCACATATATTCAGGAACATTCCCACTATTTTTGTTGCTGTTCAGTTGCATCCAACTCTTCATGACCCCATTTGAGGTTTTCTTGGCAAAGATACTGGAGTGGTTTGCATTTTCTTCTCCAGGTCATTTTACAGCTGAGGAAACTGAAGCAGAGTGAAGTGACTTGCCCAGGGTCACACAGATAGTAAGTGTCTGAAGCCGGATTTCAACTGTCACCATCCTGCTATTATTCTTTTATAGTTTGGTTTCTTTGAACTATTGTGCAAAGGCATATGATGACTGCTGTCTGTAAGTGAATAAAATTATTAGAATGTAAGATCTTCCTCTTCCCTAAAAGCATCCTCAGGACAATTCCGGTAGCAGAGAGGATGATGGTAATGATATGCCCTTCATCCCATTCCCACAAGATATTGATTTCTTTTTCTCTATGTTTTGAAAGCTTTTTGTCCTATGTAACTTGGACATTATGAGTATTTGGTATGGCTACATCTATTGAAAACACAGTTCTTAAGTTTTTATGTGTAAGTGCCATCTGGGCAATTGTGGGCTGGTGTTCAGTCTATGATAGTATCTCAGTTCCAGTAAAATTCAATGGTTGAATTTCCTAGGAAATTTTAAGGTCTATAGTATTTTTAATATGGAGATTTGTCAACTGCCAGTCTAGGGCAGCTAGGTGGTGTGATGGATAGAGTGCCAGACCTGGAGTTAGGAAGACCTGAGTTCAAATCTCACCTCAGATACTTATCTGTGTGACCCTGGGCAAGTCACTTAACTATATTTGCCTCAGTTTCATGATCAATAAAATGAGCTGGAGAAGGAAATGGCAAACTGCTCCAGGTATCTTTGCTAAGAAAACCCCAAATGGGGTCACAGAGAATTAGACATGACTGAAAAATGACTGAACAACAATGACAGCAACATCTTCAAGTCCATGAAAAGAGAGTGAGCTTCTGATGTATAATTCCACTCACTAGGTCATGCTATGTTAGGTATTCCGTAGGAGCTAAATCTTTGCAGCCTATAGAGATGTGTTACCCAGTTTCTTCCATTCTCTTGGTGCAGCTCTCTCTAGGATGAACCCTTTTGCAATTTCTGGTGCCAATGACTTGGTCCTGAATTGCTATGAGAAACCCTTCCATTTTCCCAAACAAATTTGCATGACTTGTCCATTTGTTTGATGCTTCTTTGTCCACATATTGTTGGTTGAGTTCATGCCGATGTCACCCGTGGAGAGCCCTTTGATTCTGCTCTTGGATCCTGGCCATTTCAGAGGCTCCATCTGGAGGCAAACAGCTTTCATTTCTGTTTGACAAATCCAACTACATGCATCTGCTGTCAGCCTTTACCAGTGGTCAGTGAAGTGATGTCTGCTTCTTCCCAAAGTATTTCTGTAGAGTTTTTCTTTGTTTGTCATGTGTTCTAAAAATGTCTGCTAGCTCTCTTCCTCCTTTCCAGTGAGAATTTGTTAATCTTGCTGTAGCTGCTTTAAGGGGGATGGGAACTGTGTTTTGTTAATATTTTATGGTTTTTTTTTTTTCAGGATACTTTCCAAATCTCTTATGGTCCATTTTATTATCGTCATCATCAATCATCCGATATCCTCCTTCAGCTCCTCCTCCTTTTTTAATCATTAAAAGAGAGACATAATAGTGCAGTTGATACACAGCCATCTTTAGAGCCAGGAAAACGTGGATTCAAATCTGTCCTTTGACCTTGGGCAAATCATTTAACCTCTCAGGACCCCAGGCAACACTAAGATAACAAGGTGTTGTGCAAAGAAGTTGCCCATCTGCCTCTGTAGATAAAATTCCTCCCTGGAAGCTCCCTACACTGATGAAATCCCAGGCACAGTTTAAAAAAACAGATATTTTCCAGAAGTTGACACTCTGACTTTTCTTACAGTTTGGAAGAACAGAAGTGATTGACAACACACTGAATCCGGACTTTGTGCGCAAATTTATACTGGATTATTTCTTTGAGGAGAAACAGAACATCAGATTCGATCTGTAAGTGTGAGAAACAGTTAGGTCTACTCTGACTGCCGCTCCAGTTTCAGGATCAGCCTTCTGGGGTCTGTGTGTGGGTGTGCATTGGTGTGTTGGATTGTGTGGGTGGGAAGGAACAAAGCAAGGGATAGGGTAGCTAGTGGTCTGATTTGTGGGCAAGCTGGAGATCTCTCCCCACTTCTTGTCTTTTGTGGGTAACCCAAGAGACAGAGTTTCTGGGTAATTAATAATCAGGCTAGATAATGATCAATAAATTGATGGTCAGTGGTTTCTCTTGGTAACCAAAGACCAAGGAGACACTGGATGACTTAAATCTATTTTTGAAAGGGAATACCCTCCTGAGCCTTTAAATGAAGTAGTAAAAGAGAAATAAACCTGGACCCTAGTTTAATAACTGGTTATTAATACAGTAGCAAAATAATAATTTCTCTCAGGGTAGTACTGGAAGGGAAGTACATGGAGAAGGAGGACCTTTTACTTGAGGACATCCGAGGTATCTTGGGAAAAAAGGCTAATAGTCCAAGTGGGATTGCACAGGCCTGTAGCCCTTTCTGCGGGCAAGATCGAGTCTGGTTGATCTAAGCTTTAGAGTTCTGTACTGCAGAAGGGCCTAGCCAGTGGGTTTTTCACACTAAAACAGGCACCAGGATGGTGACCTGCCACCCAGAAGTAAGGGGGTCACCAACCTGCCTAACGAGCTCATATTGAACCAGAAACAGAGCAGGTCAAAGTTTCTGTGCCAGTCAGTAATGGGATTAGCTCATGAGTGGTGATTATACTTCCAGGCTGGGTGAGATAGGGAGACCCAGTGAGAGAGAGAGAGGCAGAGGGACTAGGGCAGGCCATGAGGACTGAGTCCTGGGCTGGTACTAAACAAGATAATGGAATAGCTAAAGAGGAACTTTTGGTCCTCCTAATACAGGGGGAGATATATGTGTGTGTATACATATATGTATGTGTATATATATGTATATGTACATCATACATATATGCCTATCTACATACCTACACACACACACACACACACACACATACATACACATTTGTTATCATAGACTCTCTTGGTCTGGCAAAGCCTATGGATCCCTTTTCAGAACAAGGTTTTTAAATGTTCAAAACAAAAAAGTGGATAGTAAAGGAAACCAATTATATTGAAATAGTTATCAAAATGTATTTTTTAAAAAAGTTTCTGGTCCCCAGGTTAAGAACGCTTGTCCTGATAGAACCTTACTACCTTAGTAGAACTGAGAGGGACAGGAGGGGATGACTCCTAAGCTCTCTCTACTCCTCTCTCCAACATTTTTATATGAGTGAAATCAGATACAAGGAATAAGCAAGGCCGCTAGAGAAGGGGGTTAGAGCAACCGAAGCTAACAGGCTTTGGTGACAGTGGGAAATGTTATAAGCTGATCATATTATGCGTGAAGTTTATGAGAATTTAATCTTTTAAAGACTCCACCAACTGTCTCCTCTCAGAGTCATTGTCTCAAGCTAGATGCCTGGTTCCTTGGCCTGGAAGGGGGTGGTAGAGAGAATGGGGGGACAGGGAGGACCACCTCTCTGGAAGGTGAGGGACCTGGCTGTGTGACTCTGGGTAAATCACTTGACCTCTCTGTTTCTCCCAGGGCAACTCTGTAAGACTCTTAAGTTTCAGAGTAGGTGCCAGTCTGTTTTGATAGAAGAATGCCTTACTGGATGGCCACCTCACTGAAGAGGTCACGGTTCTGGTAAAATTTTTTTAAAAAAAGAGGCATCTGAGGCTATCCTCCATTGGGAATATATGAGCATGTATATAGAGGCATTAGAGGTATCCAAGTTGCCCAGTGCATTGAGCACTGGGCTGGAGTCAGAGAGACCTGAATTCAAATGTGACCTCAGACGCTTACTAGCTGTGTGACCTTGGGCAAGTCACTTAACCACTTGTTTGCCTCAGTTTCCTCATCAGTAAAATGGGGATAATAACAGCACCTGCTTCCTAGGGTTGTTGTGAAGATCAGATGACATAATAATTGTAAAGTGCTTAGCATAGTACCTGGCACATAATAGGTACTATATAAATGTTAGTTATTATTATATGAATATATAGTGAAACCACTCTAGCATCTTTACCAAGAAAACACCAAATGGGGTCTCAAAGAGTTGGACACTACTGAAACAACTAAACAACAACAGTGAATATGTGTGTGTGTGTGTGTGTGTGTGTGTGTATTTATATATATATATATATATGTGGCATATCCAAGGTGCTCCAAAAATCTTAGGGCAGTTTTAAAGTATTTTAAGCTATCATAGCTTAAATCTGCATCAAAACCTTTGGGACTTCCTGTATTACATATATCCATATAATATATATATATTATATATATTTTTGTGCATACACACACACACACACATATATATATAAGGAATATACATGTAGGGAATATATTGGGAACATGTGTAGGGGATATATGTGAAATATATTTGGAATATATGGGGGATATATCTATATACAGGGAATGTATAGTGAATATAAAAGAATATATAGAAAATGTATTAGGGAATATATAAGTTATATAGCAAACATAAAGATGCAAGAGAATAGGCATGCATATGTACACACATACACAAACATTTGCATACACATACAATACATATACATACATACACACATACATACTCCTGCCTCCTAGGTTCTCTTTTCCTTTCCTGTGACTTTTCTGTGCCCTGGGTTTTTATTCTATTTCTGCTCTCCAGCATTAAAGCAGGCACTGATAGGGGGATATCAATACCTGAGAAAGCTTAATGCATTTCCAGCCTCATAAGACATTCATATCCCTTTGACCAGAGGCTAACTGGGGACTGTCAAGTTGGTGTCCTGATGAGGTAGGAAGGTATGCTTCTGAGGAGGGGGTACTTCTCAGAACCTCTGAAAGCAACCCACTAGGGTAGTGGGAGTAGCCAGGTATGGTGGAAAGGACACAGCTCTAGGGCCAAAAGACCTGGTTTTGAATTCTATCCCTGATATTACTTACTGTGTGATGTGGGGCAAATCACCTAAACTTTCTAGGTCTCAATTTCCTAATTTGTAAAATGAGAGTAGACGGCTTCTAACTGTATGATCTGATGTTTTGGTGGGGAATAGAGAGAGACCAAAGGTTAAAAGGGCAGAGGGGGGCTTTGGACCCTAGAGGAAATCATTTAGAGACTGATGAAGGGGCAGCTGGGAAATTGCCTACATGTAGAAATTTAAGGCAAGAAGACTCCTATCAGCCCATTGTCGATGTTTAACATTAAATCAGAAAGAAGAAAAAAAAACCTGTAACATTTTAACAGTGACATTTCAGAGCGGAAGAATGCCTGTGCCTGGTGAGAAGCTAATGAGTTTGTTTCTAGATGGGTACTTTCCAGGGCCAGGATCCAGGGTTTGGTTACAGACAAAGAGAGAAAGAGATGGGTTTCTGGAGATGTGACAGAGGGAGGGGATGCTCTCAAAGGTGTGAGGGAGGGAGTGCAGACTCTTAGAAAAAGGGGAGGAGATTCGGTTTGTTCTCCATCAATCTGGGGCCAGAAGCAAGCATTGGGACATGGAGGGATTGAAGGGAAAGACTGTATCCCGGTGGCCAAAATACCCACTACATAGCAGGAAGGCTCCAAGCGTAGTCTTTGGTCTTTAGAAGGTGGCTGCTTCCTCCAGTGGTCTTCTGAGAGCAGAGCATGGCAAGGTCAAGCTGGGCCTACCATCATTGTTTTTTCTTTGTCTGTGTCCCCTGCAGGTATGATGTTGATTCGAAGAGCCCCGATCTCTCCAAACACGTAAGTATCGGGTTGTTGCTTTGCTGGTTTCTGCAGCGTTTATTGAGTGCCAAGTCCAAACCCTTTATCTTGGCATTCAAGGCCTTCCACGGTCTATGAGAAGGGAAAGGGGAAGAGAACATTTATTAAATACCTACTATGTGCCAGGCACTGTACCAAGTTTGTTGTTGTTGTTCAGTTGTCCCATCTGACTCTCCATGACCCCATTTCGGATTTTCTTGGCAAAGATACTGAAGTGGTTTGCCATTTCCTTCTCCAGACAGATAAGGAAACTGAGGCAAACAGGGTGAAGTAACTTTCCCAGGGTCACCCAATCAGTAAGTGTCTGAGGCCAGATTTAAATTGTACTAAGTTCTTTAATAAATATTATCCCATTTGATCAGCACAACCATGGGAGGTAGGTGTTATTATGATCTCCATATTAGTTAGTGGTGGAAACTGAGGGTAACAGAGTTTAAGTGACTTAACTCAGTGTCATATATCTAGGAAGTGTCTGAGGCTGGATTTGAATTCCAGTCTTCCTGACTCTACGCCCACCACTCTATCCATTGGACCACCAAGTTTCCTAGGTCCAGCTTTGACACACGGTAACCAAGGCAGACTACTTATCTTTCCTGGAACATTTCAAGAGCTTTCCTGCCCCTGTTCTGCTCAAACCATTATCCATACCTGGGACTCCTCTTTCCTTTGTCTCATCTGTAGACTCCCGGTCCCAAAAGGTCTCTACTAGTTGAAATTCTGCCCACCATTCAAGGCTCAGCTCTAATGCCACTTCCTCCATGAAATCTTCAGTGGTATGACAAGGAGTGTCTTTTGTCTCTTTTTATGTCCCCAGTTCCTGGCACATAGTAGGAGCTTGATAAACTTGATTACTGATTGTTATTATTGATTCCTTGATGCATAACTTTGGTTACAGCCCCCTGTCCAAAGTGATTTCTCCCAACTGTCCTTGCATTTCCACTCTTATGTAGCTCTCTCATGCACCAATCTTGTTCCACTTTGTGGGAGGTGACATATGGAAAGTACTCAGCAAATCTTTTTTTTTAAATAATATTTTATTTTTTCCGCACTCAGCAAATCTGAAAGCCAGGAATATGTTGGATCTAGTTTGTGCTGGTTCATGAGAGCCAAGTGTTAAATTCTGAATGTAGCATCAGAAATAGGCAAATGCTACAAAACAGGGCTGGATTTATTATTTTGTTGATTGTCTAGACTTAAGAGAGTGATGGAGGAAATGTTAATAATGCAAATTTAATGGAAAAGTATCATGCATATATAGTTTTTGCAATCAGCTATTAAACATTTACAAGCACACTGCTGCTTAAAGTGCTATATAAATGTTGGCTATTATTATTGTATCATAGCTATTGATTTATGTCTTATCTACCCTACTAGACTAGACTAAACTCACTGAGGCAGGGACCATGTCTTACTTGGTAGCTTTGTGTGCTTTATATAGAGTCATCAGGGCAGCTAGGCGGCACAGTGAAAAGAGCACCGACTCTGAGGTCAGGACGACCTGAGTTCAAATCCAGCCTCAGACCCAAACACTTGACACTTACTAGCTGTGTGACCCTGGGCAAGTCATTTAACCCCAATTGCCTCAAAAAAAAAAAAAAAAAAAAAAAAAGAGTCATCAACTCCTTGCCAGGTACAAACATTTTTCCTCTCCAAAGTATCACTGTTAAAATGTTGTGGGTTAGGGGCAGGTAGGTGGCACAGTGGGTAGACCAGATAGGATCTGAATTCAAATCTGGTCTTAGACACTTAATAGTTATGTGACCTTGGGCAAGTCACTTAATCCTGATTGATTAAAAAAAAAGATTATTAAGGGGCAGCTAGGTGGTGCAGTGGATAGAGCTCTAGTCTTGGGGTCAGGAGGACCTGAGTTCAAATCCGACCTCAGACACTTGACACTTAATAGCTGTGTGACCCTGGGCAAGTCACTTAACCCTGATTGTCTCACCAAAAAAAAAGAGTATTAAAATGTTATGGGTTTTTTCTCTTCTGATTTAATATTAAATATCCATAATGGGAGGCAGCTAGGTGGTACAGTAGATAGAGCATTGGGTCTTCAGTCAGGAGGACTCATCTTCCTGAATTCAAATATGGCCTCAGACACTTACTAGCTATGTGACTCTGGGCAAATCACTTCACCCTGTTTGCCTCAGTTTCCTCATCTGTCAAATGAGCTGGAGAATGAAATGGCAAACCACTCCAGTATCTTTGCCAAGAAAACCCCAATGGGGTCACGAAGAGTCAGATGTGACTGAAAAATGACTCAACAATAACAAATCCACAATGGGGTGACATGAGTCTTCTTGATTTAAATTTCTACCTCTAGGCCTTTCCCCACCTTCCCCCCTCATCAGCCTCTAAATGATCCCTCTAGGATCCAAAGCCTCACTCTCCTATCCTTTGGCCTTGATCACCGGGCTTCTGGGAGGTCACCTAGTCTGATGTATTAACTGGCCTGGGTTTTAATGCCTCTTCTGCCATTTCCATATTATATGGCCTTGGTAAAGCACTTCCCCTTGGGAGCCTCCAGTTCTTTCCTTGTAATGTGAGCACCAGATGACCAGTGGAAAGAGGACTGGCTTTGGAATCAGAATGTCTTGGTTTGACTATATGGCTGTGCTAAAGTGGTTAATCATTTAATCTCTCTTAGACTCGATTTCCCCATCTCATTTTGAGAGGCTTGGACTAGAGGGCCTATAAGGGACCTTCAATAAGGTTCTAAATATACGACACCTTTTACACAGAAGGCCTTTCTACACGTAACAGTAGGGGTAGCTAGATGGCACAGTGGATAGAGTGCCAGGCCTAGAGCCAAGAAGAAGAATTCAAATCTGGCCTCAGATATTTACTAGCTGTGTGAACCTGGGCAAGTCACTTCCCCCTGTTGGCCTCAGTTTACTCAGCTGTAAAATGAGCTAGAGAAGGAAATGGCAAACCACTCTAGTATCTCTGCCAAGAAAACCCCAAATGGAGTCGCAAAGAGTTAAATATGACTGAAATGACTGAATAACAACACATCACAATCCATGCATATGAAATCATAGAATTACAGAGCTAAAAGACATGTTGGCAATGAACTAGCGTCCCAGAAGGGGCTGGAGCTGAGGTCTGGGGGTAGAATTGGCATGTGGATGACAACACTCTTTCTGTGTCCTTATAGGATTTCCTGGGCCAGGCCTTCTGCACTCTGGGAGAGATCGTGGGGTCCCCAGGGAGCCGCCTGGAGAAGCCTCTCACGTAAGTGTGTGGGGAGAGAATGCTGAGCAGCAATGGGTTGCGTGTCTAGATTAATACAGTGTGAATGACTCTTTTGCCAGCGTGGTGCCTTGCACAAAGTAGGCATTTAATAAACGTTTGAGTTTTATTTTGACTCATTAGTAAGTTGAGTTGGGGTGATCATGAACTTATTGGGTATTTAGGCAAAGTTTAATTGCTAAGTTTAATCCTGACAACCAACACTTCTCATAGTCCTCTACAGAGCCTTGAAGATAACCAGATACCCAGACACTCCTCAGATAACCAGATTCACTAAGGGGTAGTACTAAAAACTATTTATGTCGAGGGTGGGAATGGAGAAGGTGGCATTAGCTGTAGACTCCCTCTGCAACTGTCCTGCCTAGAATGAATGAATGAATGAATGAAAAAGCATTTAAGTGCTTATTATGTGCTACGTACTTTGCTAAAGATAAAGGATACAAATAGGAAAAAAAAGAGATAGTATCAGCGGTCAGGGGCTCATACACTAATCTGGGGAGACAGTACATAAAAGAAAGTTCAGCCACCGGACAGATGGAAAAGCCTTGGTATCCTTAGGGTACAGTCATTAAGACCCAGAGGTCTTTGGGTTACTTAAGTAGTTAAATGATCTAAGTTACTTAACAGTGCTGGGGTATTGCAGAGAATAGATGGTAAGAACTGGAGGAGGGGCAGCTAGGTGGCACAGTGGGTAGAGCACTGGCACTGGAGTCAGAAGGACCTGAGTTCAAATTCGGCCTCAGACACTTGACACTTACTAGCTGTGTGACCCTGAGCAAGTCACTTAACCCCATTGCCTAGCAAAAAAAAAAAAAAAAAAAGAACTGGAGGATCTTAGAGTCATTGGCAGTGTAGATGGTGAAGCTTTGTAGCCCTCCTTTTCATTAGGAAAAAAATGGAGTTCTTGATTCCCATCTCAGCCAAGCCGTGTGAGGGTTAAGCATTTGAGGAGGAGGGAAAAGGCAAAGGGTTAGAGCCATATGGGTTCTGAGAATGTCTAGGGCTTCGGAAAGGGTTGAGGGGAGTGGGCAAATAGGATAGGGTGTCTCTTCTTACCATCTGGCTATCCCAGATTGGTTCTGGGATAGCCTGGGCCAGCAGAGAGGTGGAGAGGAGCAGAGTTTTCCCTATGGGTGAAAGCCCAGAGCTGAGGAAGGGCTTTTTTCCCTCAAGCATGCTGTGGGATATATACATTAGTCAATCCCTCAATCAGCAAACATTTATTAAGTGCCAACTATGTGCCAGGCATTATATATCCTAAATAAGTAGATTACAAAGACAAGTGAAAAAATGCTTGCCCTCCAGGATCTTACAATCTAATGGAGAGGTAAAATGTATACATATACAGAATACAGTTATCCCTTCCACATTGTGGGGGTTTGGGGGACGGTGCCCCCTGCAATCTAGAAAATCTGCATAAAATTTTTTGGCCCTCCCTTTGTACCAGAGAAGAAGTCTGAATTATTATGGTATTAAAAGATAAAATATGTTGATATTATATATTACTATACATATATTTTATGTATTTCTGAGTTTCTAAACTTCTTCTGTGTCATCTGTAGCTTCTGCAAAACCCCTCAAATTCCCACTTAATTTCTTATGCTGAACCCCAATGTATTGGGGAAAGTCGAGATGTGGAAGGGATAACTGTATATACTAAATTAAGTCAGGGTTGTTTGGGGAGGGGGCATATTAGCAAAGGATGGGGATTAATTCCAACTCATTAGCATACTTCATCTTTGGATCCCTTCCAGCATCACTGGGCTGAAGATTGAGAGCAGAATTGAGGTCTACTTTAGCCCACCCCTCCACCTTCCTCTAGATTCCAGCTTCCCTCTAATTTTTCTTTGTTCTTCCCCTTTTCCAAGGATATTTCCTCTGTTGATTTAGTAACTGTAACTGTAGCCCCAGATACCCAATAAACCCTTGAATGCTGCCACATTCCCTACCAAGCAAGAGTTGGGGAAAGAACAGGACTTTCAAAAGTTTCCAGGTGTATTGTCAGACTTTATATCCGTGACCCTAAGCTGGTACTTACCCAGGACTATGACTCCAACGCCTTGACCACTGCAATGTGGGGGGACATAAAAGAAATATAAGACACAAATCCTTGTCTAAGAACTTTTAGTTTAATGAGAAAGGCAAAACCAAAGCAGAGGAAAAAAAAAGAAACGTACATAATTTTGTTGTATATTTGAAAGGAATAGCAAATTGTGCATAGTAGATTTGCAGTTACATGTACAATCATCTTTTTTATTGTACTATTTTTTTTTATTTGTTTTTGTTTTGGACAATCAGGGTTAAGTGACTTGCCCAGGGTCACACAGTTAGTAAGTGTCTGAGGCCATTTTGAACTCAGGTCCTGTTGACTCTAGGGCCAGTGCTCTCTCCACTGTGCCACCTAGCTGCCCCTATTGTACTATGTTATAGAAATGTTTGTTTTAATTAATTATTAATTAATACATAAATATGTATTAATGTAATAGAAAGGGGGAGAAACTAAAGCAGAGGTACATGAAGAAGGAACCAATACCTGGTGAGGTCCTAGTTTTAAGAGGAACAGGAAAGAGAAGAGAAGGAACAGCATGGGAAGCAGTAGCCAGGGTAGGCTTCATGGAGGATCTGGGATTTCCCGTGGAAATCCCAGATTTTGAACGATCATAGATCATATATACAGCACTGGAGGACACCTTAGAAATCACCTAGTTGGAAAATATATGTTTATGTATATATGTATGTATGTGTATATATGTATATGTGTATACCTATATCTATATAGAAATATATCCACGCTTAATTGTAGCCTTCTAGGGGTGGGGGGAGAGAAAGGGAAAAAAAAGAACAAGGTAAATGTGCACAGCAGAGAACAAAAGAAAAGCTACAAAGAAGCAAAGAAAAGATGGATAGCTCTCAACAGAACACGTGTATTTATTACATAGTCTTTCTTGAAATGGGAAGTTATTGCTATTCATTTTGAATCCTCTTACATTCTGCTGTGCACATGACTTTTTTTTTGTTTCTTATTTTGTATTTAAGTTTTAATATTTAAATTTATAATGTTTCTTTTTCTTTTCTTATTGTGTATTTAAGTTTTAGAAAAAATAAAATTTAAAAAAAAAAAAAAAGAAATCACCTAGTTTAACCCTCTGATTTTATAAACAAGAAAATCAAGGTCCAGAAAAGGGCAGTCATTTACTGAAGGTCACACAGCAAATGGCATAACCTGGATTGGGGGCCTGTCCTCTAAGCCAAATTCCATGGTCTTTATAATAGACTAGGCTGCCTCATATACTGTGTATATATATGTGTAGTTTTAGTCTTTCCTCATCTGCCAGCCCCTTCCTCCCTGCCCCAGAGGCATTAAAGAGGGAAAAGGGTGGCAGGAAGAGAAAAGAGAGAAGGAAGATAATACACAGGATGACTGACAGCTCCTTAGTCAGAGAATAATAGCTGTCTTCCCAACCACGTCAGGAGTCGGGAGCTGTAGGTGGTAGGGGTTAGGAGTAGGTGATAGGACTGGGGAAAGCTGTGCTCCTAGAGAACTAGGGGAGTTGGGGGTGGGCTCCTGGGAGTCAGTTTGGTCACCTACTGGGAAATCTCAGCTTCCTCTGTGCCACCCAGCTGGTGGTAAAAACGTGGGTGGCATCTGTGTCTTTGTCTGAGTGCGGGGGCGGCAGTTTCTAGGTCACTTGTCTGCCTAGAGAAACCGGCCTGATGGACAGAAAGACTCAGGAAGGTCAGAAGGGGCTTCCTCTCTCTGATTTCCTCTGAGACAGGCGAAGCGACTCCCTTGGGGGATAGAGGCCTCTCTGATCTATATCTGCAGCCGGTCCTCTCCAGAGGGGCTGGGTGGGGATGCAGAATACTGATTATTCCATTTGTCATTGAGTGTTTGGGGGATCTTTGAGAAGCTGGATGCCTGCAGACCCGTAGCAAAAAACGGAGGGGATCAGGGAGATTGGGAAAGAAGCGTGATGGCTTAGTGTCAGGATGATGCAATGAGGAGAGCCCTGGATTTGGGAATTGAGAGACCTAGGTTCTAGTCCTGGGTCCGCTGATAGCTAGCTGATAAGTGGTTTTAGGCAAGTGAGTTCCTCTTTCTTGGCCTCATTTTCCTCATCTATAAAATGAAAGATTTGAATTAGGTGATTTCCAACATCTCCTATACTGTGGTTTGGTGACTACATCATTCCATTCCTACTGAGGTGTCCAGGCCTATGCTACAGGAGAAACAGATGATGCAGAACTGGAAAAGACATACAGATACTATTTAATCAAATGATCTCACTTTACAAAGATCAGAGAAGGGAAATGATCTTCTCAAGGTCTATGGACTGACTCATTTGGAGAGATATACATGATCATAGATTCCATATGCTTAATTGGGAAATCAAATCCCATTTCCTTTCCAAAGCCTCTCTTAATTGTCCCCAACCAGCCAGCATCTCTCCTTCCCTACTGATCTTGGTACTTTTCTTATAGGGAGATAAACCATTTATTATGCACTTACTGGGGTCCAGGTGCTGTGCTAAGGCATTGAAGATGCAGATACAAGGAAGCAATACAGTTCCTGCCTTCAAGGAGCTTATATTCAAACAGGGGAAGATAGCACAAAGAGGTGCTGGAAAACTGGGGTGGGGGCGTGTAAATGGAGCCATGTTAATGGGGCCATGTTGAGGAGACTGCAGGATGTGGGGTGGAGGCCTGAGACCTGCCAAGAAGAGGCAAAAAGTTCACTTGTCAGAGCTGTGGAAATCAGAGGGAGAATCATCCACTTTTTTATTCACAGCATACTTTCTGCATTTTTGGTGATTACATTTCTTAATTCCTTTTTTAGACCATGATGTTCTTAAGATCAGGTTCTGTATGTTTCTTTTATTTCCTCCCAGTGCTTTAAACATAGTGGGCAATCAATAAATGTTGAATGAATGAGCAAGTGGATGAATTAAAATAAACAGTATCAAAATATATGGTGTAGACCAATGGTACCAAACTCAAATAGAAACAAGTTCACTAAACCATACATAAGGATCCCTGCAGGCTCCATATTGACTTAGACAACCATATATTACCATTATTTATGTTCTCTTGTATTTTTATTAATCTTGTTAAATATCTCCCAATTACATTTTAATTTAAATTACATTCATGGGGCAGCTAAGCTAGTTTGAACTTGAATTCAAATCTGGCCTCAGACACTTACTAGCTCTGTGAACCTGGGCAAGTCACTTAAATCTCAATTTGCCTCAGTTTCCTCATTTGTAAAATGAGGGCAATAATATATTTTTTAAAAATTTGTGATTCTGTAGCAAGTCTGAGGAGGGCAGTGGTGCCATTAGTAAAAATGAGGAAATTGGGAATGGGGATGGTTTTAGGGGAAAGCTCAATTGGAGTTGAGAAATATTGAGTCCAATAGGGATGACGACAGCTCACACCTGACCAGGCTGTGAAGATAAAAGGAAATAACATATGGAAAGTGCTTTATAAATGTTAAAGTGCTATAAAAATGCTTTTGTTGTCATTCAATTGTTTCAGTTGTGTCTGACTCTTCCTGACTCCATTTGGGTTTTTTTCGGCAAAGATACTGGATTGGTTTGCCATTTCCTTCTGCAGCTCATTTTACAGTTGAGGAAACTGAGGCAAGCAGGGTTAAGTGACTTGCTCAGGGTCACACAGCTAGTAAGTGTCTGAAGCTGGATTTGAACTTAGGAAGATGAGTCTTCCTGACTCTAGGTCTGGCACTCTACCCACTGCACCACCCAGCTGCCCATATAACCACTACCTCATATTATTATTATCCTCCAAGATTGTTGTGAGGCTCAAATGAGATAGTAATTATAAAGCATTTAGCAGAGTGCCTGGCACAGAGTAAGCATGATATAAACGTTAGTCATTATTATTATTCACTTGGGAGTGGTAGTATTGGTTCACTTGGGAGTGTACAGCTTCTGTTTAGGACTTAAATAGCCCTAGTCCCAGATATCCAGTGAGCCCTTGAATAGCCACTTCCCTATGAAGCAAGGGTTGGTGAGAGAATAGGGGAGGAGATCTTATAGCTTCCAAGAAATGTGTTGTCAGACTTAAGTCCATGGACTGAAGCTGTACTTAGCCAGGACTATATCTCTGACCCCATGACCACTGTAATGTGAGGGGAGGGGTAGAGGGGGTCATGAAAGAAATAAAAGAAGAACCCTTGTCCTTCAATGAACTTTTAGTTTAATGAGGAAGGCAAAACTAAAGCAAGTGGTATGTGAAACAAAGGTAAGGGACTGGTTGAAAGAGCAATAGGACAGAAAAGGGAGAACATGGCATGGAAAAGCATGGGATGGGGCTGCATGTTGGACTCCTCTGGTTTAGACAATAACTGCCAAGCCCGGTCAGGAAGGGGACAGGGCTGTTCATCAGTCTGCTTCTCACTCTTTGCCTTGCTGTCTCTTTCTCTGTCTCTGTGCCTCTGTCCATCTGTCTTTCTCCACCAGGATAGGAACTTTCAGCTTGAATGCTAGGACTGGCAAACACATTCCATCAGTGTCAAATGGGTAAGGTCAAAGACTCCTTCTTCCCCTGAGATATCAGCCTTACGGAAGCCTGGGGAGGGCCAAGATAGCTCTTAGTAGGCCAGATATGAATCCGCAATGTGACCCCATGCAGGCCCAGGCTTGCTCAGGGGTGTAGAGCTGGTCCCTGCCCCAAGACACCCATTGAGGAAGGGTTCAAGAGCTCTGTATAAATTATAGGTGGAAATTTTCCTAGAGCACCTGTTCTCAAATAGATACCCCTGGGGGTGGTGTATAAGGCCAAAACTATATTCATAACGATGCTAAGATGTTTTAATTTCCAATATGGTAAGTACCGATAGATATAACCCACATAAACAAAAGCTTTTTGTGGGATTCTTCAATAATTTTTTTGAGAGGTAATTAGAGTTAAGTGACTTGCCCAGGGTCACACAGCTAGCAAGTATTTGAGGCCAGATTTCAATTCAGGTCCTCCTGACTCCAGGACAAGTGCACCACCTAGCTGCCCCAGTTCTCCAATAATTTTTAAAGGGTCTAAGATCAAAAAGTGTGATAACTGCTATCTTAGAGTAACCTTTGGATTGGGGTGATCGATCTTTTGGCTCAGGCCAAAAAGATTAGATCCTGCCCATGAGGACTCAAAGTCAGGGAGCCTTGGGCCACAGATAATAACTTGGGTCACAGTTTACTTTTTCCTCACTTTTAACCATTCCAAGATGAGAACCAATATCCCCATTCTTACCCACCTTGGGTCCATGACTTACTCCTTAACTCCCCTCCCTCTCTGGTAGAAAAAGTACGATCTGAGTGGCTCTGAGTGGAGTAAGTCAAAGGAGTGTTAATTTTTGGTTTTTATGGGGGGATGGAGGTAATAGGATAATGTCAGCTGGGGACCTCCAATAAAGTCCTGCTCCAATACCTTACCATGACTTGGAGGCAATGCTTGGTTCTTCAAATGTCTGTTGGGGTGAGCTGTAGTAGGTCTTATGAACCTGCAAACACTGAATATGGAGCTGTTGATGATCTGTGGCTATTCTTTGAAGGCCAGCATAGATAATATGGTAGGGCTTCATCACCAGAAGGTTGGCCTTCACCAGGTAAAGGAAGACCTGATACGAAGTTGCAGTCTGCAATGGTGTATGTATGACAATGAAGCTATAGAAATTACATGCACATGGAAGGTCTAATTGGCCTTCAGGGTATTTTTCCCTTCAGAAGAGATCTTTGGATGAAAAATATGAGAACCACTGGCTTTATGAGAACCACAAGAGCCTTGTGCAGGCAGCCCTCCCTGAAAAGTCTACGAGGAAGAGGGGGAGGTTAGGTAGGGAAATACAGTTAAGTTCTGCAGGGGGAAAAGAAGTCAACTCTAGGCTTTGTCTGTGAGTAGTCATTTCAAGGCAGTTAGGTGGTGCAGTGGATGGAGCCTGGGCCTGGAGTCAGGAAGACCTGAGTTCAAATCTGGTCTCAGATACTTACTAGCTGTGTGACCCTGGCAAGTCATTTCACTCTATTTGCCTCAGTTTCCTTATATGTAAAATGAGCTGGAGAAGGAAATGGCAAACCACTCCAGTGTCTTTGATAAGAAAATCCCAAACTGGGTCAGATACAACTGAAATAATTTTTATTAGGACCGAACAACAACAAAAGTCTCTTCTAAAAGACTCGGTGGGGAGAGGGTGTTGGATTTGGAGTCAGGGAGACCTGAGTTCAAGTTCCGCCTGTCCCTTAAATCGCTTAACGTCTCTGTGCCTCAGACAATCCTCTGGGTTACTCAGGGCTTTTTTGCTGCTGCTGGCAGGGGAAAAATCTGAGCTGAGGAAATCCCAGATCTGGGATGTAGTGAGTCCCCTCTGGTTTACACGTTTCCTGAATGTTCCAGGATGCTTCTTTCTGTGGGCTTAAGGCTGGTCTGCGGATGGTGCCGGGGCTGAGGAAGGGGAGTGGTGGGAAAGGAAGGGGCTGCCTTGGTTGTGGGTGTCCATTGTCTAATGCTGGCTCTCTCCCTTTCCCAGCGGGGTCCCTGGGAAGAAGTGTGGTACCATTATCTTGTCAGTGGAGGAGCTGAGCAACTGCAGGGTGAGTGATATGGGGAAGGGAGGGGAGATCCCTCTGGGCCAGCTGATGCCAGAGAAGCTGAATGAAGCCAGGTAGGCCTTCCATGGAGCAGCAAGGCCACCAGGGTTCTTGGGGGCAGGGATAGGAGAGCAAACCCCCTCATTCCAACTTGGACTGCGTGTCACATTTTCTGAAACAAAATTTGTCCGTGCTGTCAACAACACAGGAGGGCAAATCTGCCTTTTCTGTCTTAGCATCTGTCCAAGAAAGAGTTTCTTGGGGGTTGGGGGTACAGCCTCCTTGAGGGCAGGAAACAGTCTCTTAATTAACATTTTTTTCCTCTCTCTCAATGTCTAACATGGGGTTTTGCGATCAATTAGTCAATGGACCAGCAATTATTAAACACCTGTGATTGTGATAGATGCTAGGATACGAAGACAAAAAAGAAATAACAAAATTATAAATTATATATATAAAATTATAAAAATAACATAAAAATAAAGAAATAAAAAAGAAATCTGTCCTTTAGGAACTTACATTCTATCTTCCTACTACATACAGTAGATGCTTAATAAATGCTTGGTATTTTTTTTTTTAATCTCATGTATAGCTTCCAGGTAGGAAACTGATGTTGGATTTGGAGAAACAGGAGTGTTTTCGCTCCTGTGTGTGTGTGTGTGTGTGTGTGTGTTTTGGGTGGAAACACTCTCTCATTCTATCCAGTCTTTCAATCTAGCATAAGCCATGCAGACAGAAGGAGATAGTAACAAAGGAGGGGTGGGGAACCTGCAGCCTCGAGGCCACATGTGGCCTCCAGGCCACAGGTTCCCCACCCCTGGAATAGACAAAGGTTTCAGGTGAGATTGGCTAGAAAAAGGCTCTGCAGGATGATCCTGATTTTGTGTTATGGAAGTGGGACCCCGTGTTTGAGTTGATATGACCTGGAGGAGAGGTGTGAGGGGCAAGATGGGTGGGGTAGTAGGAGAAGTAGATTGAAATTGGAAACTGGGATTTCCAAGGAATGGTCTCAGCCCACTGATAATGGTAGCAGGAGAATGAAGGAAGGAGGAGTAGGAGAGGGAAGAAGTAACCAGTCTAGGCTTCCTAGCTTTGCTTTGGAGAAGTAATTGGAGTCAGGATATTTGCACATAAATCCCAGCTCTGACACTGCGTAGCTGGTGACTGATGCCCTCTGTTTCCTCCTCAGTAAAATGGGTTCAATAATACCTGCACTGCTGACCTCACCAGGTTGTTGTGAGGATGTAAATTGCTCTGTAAACCTTATAGTGCTATATAAATGTTATCTATTGTTGATAATAATGATAATAAACCTTAAAATACCATAAACATGTTACCAATTATTTATGTTCTGTACCATTTATAAAGCACTGTGCTAGGTGCTGTGGGGGAATTTAAAAAGAGAGAAGTGTAGTCAGAAAAACGTGTGCTGGATTTGCTGGTAGAGGACCTGGGTTCAGATCCTGGCTCTGCCACTTACTAGCTGTGTGACCTTAGAAAAGTTGCTTCACTTTTCTGGGCCTCAGTCCCTCTGTAAAGTAAAGGACAAAGGGGAGGGAAGGGAGTAAGTATGAAGTGAATATTTACTATGTGTCAGGCCCTATGCTAAATGCTTTACAAATATTATCTCGTTTGATCCTCACAACAATCCTGAGAGGTAGGTACTGTTATTATCCCCATTTTACAGTTGAGGAAACTGAGGCAAACAGAGGTTAAGTGATTTGCCCAAGGTCAAACAGCTAGTAACTGCCAGATTTGAATTCATGTCTTTCTGACTCCAGGCCTGAGGCTCTATCCACTACACCACCTAGCTGACCACCTGGCACATAGTAAGTGCTTAATAAATGTTTATTGATTGATTATAAAGAAAGAAGAAATGGCTTCCCCACAGACACAGGCACAAAGTAGCAGAACTGGGTTTTAAATCCCAGGTCTTCTGACTTCAAATAAAATGCCATTTCTGCTATCATATACCACTTCTCCTTATTTTAAATTTTAAGGGTCCTCTTTACCTCCAGGTCTAGTATTCCAAACCTGAATGGCAGATAAACAACTCATCTCTGGGCCATTTCTGACAAATTCAGGCTGTAGTTTTTATTCATGTCAGATATAAATCCTTCTTCAATATCTCCCGGCACGGAGGTCACCCTTGGTTCTTGAAGGCTACGATAATCGTGTATGATAAACTTATGAGTGTGTAGCAGATCTTGTCAAAAAATTGTAATAATATATATGAGCACCATTAAAAAACTTTTTTGGCTTTTCCCTACCCTATCCATTATAATTTTACAGATCAGTTCTCTGGGACCTTCCCCCAAAGCTGTCAATTTTCCAGACTGCAAAGGCCTAATTTTTTTCTCTTCTCAACTGGCAGCCAGTTTTCCCCTCCCCACTACTCATCAACCCCTCCCCTCCAATCTCCTTGATTCTTTCAACTCTTCTTGTATAGTTCCATTAGTTCTTTTTTATCCTAAAACACTTTCAAGGAAAGGAGATTGAATCTTGGCACCTGACTGAATTAAAGTAATTGTATTTGAATGGCTTCTTTTATGTCGTATTGGTGAAACATAAAGGGGCAGACTTCCAAAGAGGCATCAGGGCTCTGCCAAAAGGAGCATTTCCTGATCACATGAATAAATTCCACCCCAAATGGAGAAAACTACACCTGATATAAGAGGAGAGAGAGAAACAGAGTAAGAGGGTAGAGACAGAGATAGAGACAGAAAGATGGAGACCGAAGAAGCAGAGATGCATATAGAGACAAAGAGGGACGAGGAGAGAAGGGGGTGGCATAGAGAGAGACAGAGAAAGAGGCAGAGACAGAGAGACAAAGAGAGCAAGAAAGACGGAGGGAGAGAGGGAAGGAGGGAGGGAGAGAGAGAGACAGAGACAGAGACAAAGAGAACAAGAAACAAGGAAGGAGGGACGTGAGAGGGAGGGAGGGAAAGAGAGAGAGAGAGAGAGAGAGAGAGAGAGAGAGATAGGTAGAAAGATAAAGACAGAGTTAAAGAGATAAAGTCAGAGACACAGAAAGAGACAGACAAAAGCAGGGAGATAAGCAGACAGATTCAGAAAAAAGAGAGACACAGATATAGAGACAGAGGGCCGAGGAGGGAGAGACAGAGACAGAGACACTGAGAAAAAGAAAAAGAAATAGGGACAAAGAAAAGTCAAAAGTTTTTTAATGGTACTCATATATATTATTACAATTTTTGAGAAGATCTACTAGACACTCATAAGTTTGTCATATTGTAGCCTTCAAGAGCCAAGGGTGACCTCCATGCCGGGAGATATTGAAGAAGGATTTATTTCTGACATGAATAAGAACTACAGCCTGAATTTGCCAGAAATGGCCAGTGATGAGCTGTTTATCTGCCATTCATGTTACCCCCTTCTCTGCTGGCGCCTCTTTGTCTTTATATTGGACGTGACTGAAGTGATTGAACAACAACAACAAAGAGAGAGACCTCTAGAAGTACAATGATAGGGAGCTCTCTGGACAATCAACAAGAAATAAACAAAGGGCTTCTCAGGGACCACCTATTGGATGTCATACAGAAAGTAATCCAGCAGAGAGAAGCCATTTTATGGAAAGCATTACCACTGGACATATTGCTATGAGTAATAAGAGTCAGTCACAGAGCCCAACCATCCCACCACCACCTAAAGATGGATATAAAGAGACTATTCATAGTTACCCTCGATTTTATTGCATCTTTAATTACAAACCAGTTTTTTAAAGACCCAAATCCCAAGGATTAGTGAATGATCTAAAGTATTTAAACTAAGATGCAATGATAGATCAGAGATTTGAGTAATACATGTGATACAAATGTTAAACAATAATTATTTAAGTAGCTTGAATAACATTCTTTGGCTGATGCTTTATGAATAAACTCTAAACTGAAACTTGAAAAACAAACAAATAAACCCTCCCCCCAAAACAAACATTTATTAAGGACCTACTGTGTGCCAGGTACTGAGCTAAGTGCCGGGGACACAAAGAAAGGCAAAAAACATCCCCTATTATCAAGGAGCTCGCAGTCTGATGGAGGAGACAGTAACAAACATCTGTGCATAAACAAGATATAGACAGGACAAATTGAGGGTAGTCTTAGAGAGAAGGCACCAGCATTAAGAGTGATAGGAAGGGGCAGCTAATTGGCACAGTGGATAGAGCACTGGTCCTGGAGTGAGGAGGACCTGACTTCAAGTCTGGCCTCAGACACTTACTAGCTGTGTGACCCTGGGTAAGTCACTTCACCCCAATTGCCTCAGGAAAAAAGGGTGATAGGAAAAGGCTTCTATAACACTTATGCTTTCCTTTAAATGACCTTGTCATGTAAATATTGCTATTGCCATTTTACAGAAGAGGAAACTGAGACTCAGAAAGCTTGAATAAGTTGCCCAGAGTCACTAGGCTATGTGTGTCAGAGTTGGGATTCAAACCTATGTCTCTCCTGTTTATAAATCCAGTGCTTCTGGTCACACAATACCTCTCTGGAAGCCTCTAGAATGCAAATTTCACTTGGGTGGCCTGGGTTGTGGAGAGGGGCATGGGCGAATTGCAGGTTGGATTCTAGGGCAGAGAGGAGCATGGGCAAATTGCAGGTTGGATTCTAGGGCAGAGAGGGGCATGGGCAAATTTCAGGTTAGGTTCCAGGGCAGAGAGGAGCATGGGCAAATTGCAGGTTGGGTTCTGGGCAGAGGTGTAACAAGGGTGAAGCAACTGAGCACTTGGTCTTGGGCACTCAAAGCTGAGGGGCACAGAAAAATGCATAGACCATGCAGCTACTATTTCAAGAAGTCATACCATTATATTCTTGCCTAACTCATCATGGTGTTCTCCTAGGATATAGTTTTACTGCCCTTCTGCAAGCGCCCAAGGGTCTTGTTCTCAAACCAGAGGCATCTGGGCTTAATCTCTTCTGGGGTTGCAGGCTCAAAGGTTTGGTGCAGTCTTCCTTGGTGGTGACTCCAACTGCTCCTTGGCTTCGGGCTCT